AGAAACATGCACACAATTTATATTTCACTGGCCAGGATTCCAAGCCTGCCTCCCCTGCTGTGGAGATTACGTGATCTTGGACCAGTTACTTAGTTCTCTGGGACCCAGTACACTCCAAGATGAAAAGGCAACAGTATCACAGAACTCCTGGGGGGTCTTGAAAAGTAGATCAAATAGTGTATGGGAAAATGCCTAATCCAATTCTTGGTTACAGTAGGCACAAAGTAAATATCAGCTTCTAGCCTTTCCAGTGCCCTTGGATAAATTCCTGTGTGGAAAAAGTGCCCTGGGAAGGAGGGCTGGGCAGGGGCACTGATGTGGGATCGACTGGGCTTCAACTTTCTTAACTACCACAAACTGGTAACTGAAGACAAGAGAAACCTATTCTATCCCAGGTCTGGAGGCCAAAAGTTCAGAATCACGCTGAACCATGTTCCCACTAAAGGCTCCAGGAAGGCAGCCTTTTCTACATTGGCTAGGCCCTGCCTTTTGCTGGCCACCATTGGCCTTCCTTGGTTCATAGATGCATTACACCAATATCTGCCTTTATCTTCATGTGGCCTTTTCCCCTGGGTATCTGTGTGTCTCTGCCCCATAAGCTGGTTGGGTTTTGTCAACTTGACACAAACTGGGACATATCTGAAAGGAGGAAACCACAACTGAGAAAATGCCTCCATGAGATTAGCCAATAGGCAAACCTCTGGTACATTTTCTCAGTTACTGATTGACGTGGGAAGGCTCAACCCATTATAGGAAAGAGTCTAGGGGCAGCCAACACTGCCTGAGGCCCACCTAGGCTGACCATTCACACTCACCCAGCCATCTCCAGGGAGCTCTCACGCGGATCTTCCAGTGAGAAGTGAGAGAACTGGGACAGGAGCATCCAGGTGCCGGCATCGCTCCGCTCTGGCACAGGACTGAAAGAAGCTAATGTGTGCTGTGGTTTGAATCTGAAATATCTCTAGAAGGCCCACATGTGAAGACTTGGTCTCCACTGCAACATTCAGAAGTGGGAATTTGGAGAATTGACTGAATGACAAGGGCGCCAACCAAGGGATTCGTTTATTGATAATTAACTATTGAATGACCTACTAGAAAACAGGAGGAACTGAGAAAGCTGAGCCAGACTGAGGGACAAACATCACTGAACATGTGACTTCTCCCTGTCTCCTTGCTTCTTGGACTCCATACAGGGAGGCATCCTCTGTCTCCCATCCTCACTGCCATTGCGTTCTGCTAGACCTGCCTCAGGTCAAAGCCATGGATCCACTTCACCTTGGCCTGAACCCTAATAAATGTTTCTTCCTTTAAGTTGGTTCTCTTAGGTATTTTTCCACAGCTGTTGTGAAGCTAACATTGGGTCTATAACAAGGGCTTTGACAGCAAAGAACTGGAGGCAACAATCAGACACCCGAGGAAACCTCCTTCAGTTGTGCAGTGAGGAGAGGTGTCTGTGGGAAGCTGCATGAGCAGAGACTTGAAGAAGATTATAAATGATAGAGAAAGGCATTCCAGTGAGCAGAAGTAGCATGTTTGAAGTTCCTATGCCAGGAAAGAATGTGACATGTCCGATCACCAGGCCAGCCAGGGTATCTGGAGCACTGAGAGGTACGGAACAGCGTTTGCAAAAAGACAGTATTAGATGGCCCAGGATAGGTCTCACAGTGTATAGATCACAGTCTACTTAAAGGCCAAGCCACTAAAGAGATTAAGCTCCAAAATGACATGATCCTATCCATTTAGGCCAACTATGACACAGAGCTTGTTGCCCAGAGGGGATCAATAAACAGCAAGGGCCATCAGAATAAAGAGACTCAAGCTAGGTTTCCGAAGAGATGGAAAGTACTGGACCACAGAACGTGAGTAAGATTCCGGCCGCTGCCTGCAAGAACAGTTTCTCCCCTCATCCGAATTCGCTTCCATGCCTCTCAGCCTGAGCAGCACACAGAGCCCCTGACAGATTCATTTCAGCGATCACTATCAAATGCCTCTATTAGGAATGCTCAGAAGATTGTATTAGCATGATCCAATATTTACGAAATGACACTCTGGCTGTAATAAGGGGCTGAGAAAATTAAGATTAGAAGTAATCATCATGCCTCAGGGAAGGGAGGTGGGAGGGGAGGAGGAGGCATCCATCTGGCCAGGTTGCTGCCCAGAACCTTGGTTTTCTTCTCTGTAAAATGGGAAAGACAATAGGAAAAAAAACGTGATTGGGATAAGCACGTGATCAGGAAGAAGAGTGCCAAAGGCCTCTAAACTGTAGCTCGCGTCTTTGTTACTAACCGCTTCAGTACATGACCCCATCCATGCCCCCTTCCAGCACACTGTGACGTGAATGCTCCATCTGTCACATCACATCCCGCAGATGCTGACGATGCAGCTGTGAACAAGGCTACTGTGGTCCCCAGTCACGTGGACTTCTCATCTGAGGGACGTTAGTCACAATGTGGGGATCTTTACCAAGAGCCACCACAGACTGAATGGGAAGAAGTCACAACGTCAGGGCAGACTAGAGGGAAGGGCTTCCTGAGAGCATCGTGTGCGAGCACCAGAGGCAGGGGAGTAGAGTTTGTCAGCAACTGACGGGAGCCCATGTGAAGCACCACAGGGGAAGCAGAACTGGTCAAGGCGGAAGTTGAGGCAGGATAAGCTGTTGGGGTCTTGAGGGGACAGCAGGACTCTGTCATCTCAGAGCATCAGGAGACCGCAAAATCTTTAAGAGAGAAACTGCAGAGGGATGAAGGGGCAAGGAAATGGACAGCCCTGTGTCCCACCAGAATCTCTTTGGCTTCTGTACAGATTGAACTCAAAAGAATGACTCTAAGAACCAGAACAAAGGTCCCCAGGTTCCCAAAAGAGAATCAGAGATGATCTGCACCAGAAGAATGAGAGTCTAGGCAAAGAAACCAGACATACCTATGATGGAGTCAGAACTGGGGAGATATTCACATGAAGAGACTACCACACAGGGGGCGGGAGAGACAAACAGAGCCACTGGCTTCTGAACATTCCAGAGAGTGCGTAGACATGGAAGGGGAAAGGGTGAATTAAGAGTTCACTTTTAGCTAGGCATGTTGGTAGACACTTGTAATTCCATCACTTAGGAGGACGATCTTAAGTTCTATGTTATCTCAAGAAGAAAAGATAGAAGGAAGAGAGGGAGGAAAGGAGGGAGGGAGGGAAGGAGGGAGGGAGGGAGGGAGGGGAGGGGAGGGAGGGGAGGCAGTAAGGCTAATTTTGAAAATGTTGGATCATGACACAATACATGATTTTGAGTGGGCTAAAGATATACAGATACGTGCATGAATATACACATATACTCACACACATGGATGCATACAAATGCACACGTATATGCACTTAACACTCATGTATATATACACTTACACACTGATGCATACACACATGGATGCATGCACACCCATCACTCATACACACATGCATACATATATGCACACACATGCATGCACTATAAGATCCAGATTTGATCAATCTCAAAGATGGCCAAGAACATGTAGGGATGGTGACACACACTGTTAATGCCAGCACTCAGGAGGCAGAGGCAGACTGAATTCTGTGAATTCAACAGCAGTCTGATCTACATAGTGAGTTCCATGCCAGCATTGGAATTAATTTATTTATTTATTAAGCACAAGTGTTTTAGCTTTTGGGATCCTAATGGGACAAATGACTGGGATACTACAGAAATGAAGTCAGCATTACTAAAATCCACAAGGAGGCAACAGATATAGTTTTCCCATGCTGCCTTAGTCATTGGAATATGTGACAACTGATACCTCTGCTCAGACAAAATAAGACCCCATCTAATCTGAAATTTACAATTTAGTAACTTCAGGCTTGTTTCTTTCCTTTTGGGATAGCCTTGAACTCAAGACCCTCCTGAGAAACAGACATGATGCAAGCCTTAGTAGGAACCTTGCAAATCCAGCCAGGTGTCTCCTGCTTTGGAGTCAAGCTCAAAGTCAGAGAGGACATTTCTGCCCCTAGATTCTTCTGAGAATCTCCTCTGTCTCCACTTACTGATATCCCAGAAACCCTCTCCCCAGAGTTGACCAAGAGGGCATAGCAGTGGGAGTCACAGATGTTGGCACATCTGTGCTCAGACAGAACCTGAAACAATGGTGTTGGAGAAGCCATCCACGAGGAGAGTACAAAACAAACACAAAGAACTCTAGTGCTTAAAGGCAGGTTGAACTAGCAGAAAACAGGGGTGAGTCTCAGGGAGGGCTGAGGAGCTGGTGCAATACAAGACAATGTGTGTGTTACATGGAGTCACTGGCCAAGGGGTCTCCATAGACAATGTCCTCTCATGTCCTATAGCCAATTGGCTTTCTTACTGTTCAAAAGGATAACCTTCACTTTCACAGGGATGTAGGACATCCTGGCTCACATCACCAAGTAACCTTGCTGCTATGCCCTGCCCAATTCACCAACTCTGACAGGGTTCTCTTTGAGTATGTGTATCCCTCCTCCAAATACATCCCCTAAAACCCAGCAGGTTCACCTCTCTCACATGCCTGCTTCCTGCAGGCATCCATCAATACTTTACATTGGTTAGATAAGCCTGGTATTTTGGATGTTAGGACAGTCACCAAAGCTATAATAATTTAACAGTGGAATGTCCTGATGTGTACAACTCATGCTCATAGAGAAAAGGGGTATTCTCATCTTTTTCTAAAATGACATTACCATCAGACCCCACAGCAAAACTCAGTGATACCCTGTGCATAGACAGAGCTTAAAATCTCTGAGTAAAAATAATCCCACAGGTTTCTGGATCCTGATGGCTTATAACTATCACTCCATTCTAAAGAACTCACTTAGCCTTGCCTGAATACCTCTAAAGATAGGCAATTCACTATTTACATATTAACCTACTGTTCTCTCACCTCAATCCATAAAAAGGTCCTTCTCCCATGAGCCACTGCAAATGCCAGCCACCTCCATCTCAGCCCCAAACATGATGGGTCACATACCTGTAGGCACAGTTGGGTCCAGCATTGGCTTCTCCCATGTGTTAATCTGCTCCCAGGTAAACCCATTGGTGCCGAGAGCCACGCTATACCCACAGTTGCTGTAGTGCTCATCAAAGGAACAGCCACCTGCAGACGAAAGAGAGATGGGTAAGTACAGCCCCATGCATGAAGCTTGGCAAGTTACCCCTTCCCCACCAATTCTTCATTTACAGCTTTGGGTTTTAAACTCTAGAGGGGTGTTAGAGGAAAAATAACCAAACCAAAATAGGAGAAGAAAGAAAGAGAAGGAAGAGGAGGAGAAAGAAAAGAGAAGGAAAGGAGGGAGGGAGGGAGGGAGGGAGGGAGGGAGGGAGGGAGGGAGGGGGAAGAACCAAAAGCAGGCAACAAGCAAACTAGATTTGCCTTGGCGATCCCAGAAAAGTTTCTGGCATTGGTGACCCATCCCCCATTTAAGAAAGTTAATAAGGCTAGTTACATTGATTTCAGTCTGACCTCCTGAGAATATAAACAGGAACGTCTCATTCTGAGTAGGAACAAGGAATGCCAGGGCATGCCTCTGTAATGGCTTCCAGCTCCAGTTAAGGGGTGCTGGGATGCTGCGGAACAAACAGGAGCTTCAGAATCCAGCAGGATTCCATGACACCTCAGCTTTGCAAAACTGTGAGCTTGGGCCACCTGATTCACAGCAGGGGTGGGAGGTGGGGAGTCTCGGTTTCCCCACCAGTGGAGGGGAACACCCACCTTATGATATGTTATTAAGTGGATTGACTATGAAAAGTAAACACAGAATATACTCTGCACCCGCCCCCCCCACCTTCTTCCCTGTAAAAGTAGACTGAAAACCCATGCTTCATGGAGTTGGAAGAACAAACTGGTAAAGAATTAGACAACCATACATTTGGAAGATGAGAAAGTCAACAGTGAGGGTTTCTAGGTTTTCCCCTAAAGTTCAAGCCATCCTTCATTTGACATTATGCTGTGTCTGTTTCGTATTGGCAAGGATAAACAGCATATATTTGGGTTGTAAGTCCACTCAAGGTGACATTGAATGAGATAAAGGATTAGAATGGAGGGTCCATCTAGGAGAGCTGCCATGACCAGAGACACAGGAGCCCATATTCTAAAGGAGAGAGTTAACAGGGCCCAGTGGGAGAGGAGCATCTTCACAGGCCGAAGACTGGCAGACGGATATCACAAGAGGAGCACAGGCTGGTCCACAGAAGGAGCTGGCACCTGCTGGCCTGAGCCTGCCATGGCCTCCTGGCTGGTGGTCCACACCCATTCCCATTCTAGTCCATCTCTTCCCTGTGTTGTCTCCCTGGCATTCAGCACCCTGCCCCCCTCTAAATGCCCATTTGTCCCCATCGTAAGCGGAGTCACATCCACTGCAGGCCTTGAGCCTTTGTCCTTTTCCAGTTCCTACACTGGAACTCAGCCCCTCGGAAGTGGGATTAAGAGGAGGGATTTTGAGGAGGCGATTGGGTTATGAGGGTTTGGCTCTCAGGTAGGAGCTTCGTGTCCTGATGAAGGAGGCCCTAGGGAGCACACTCAGTCCTTCTGCCAAGTGAGCTTCAGAGGAGGAAGGCCAAGAAGAGGACAATAGAATGCATATGACATGAAACAACATGAAAGGACGACAGGAGAGGAAGAGGGAGATGGAGGGGGGAGGGCAGGAGGCCAATGAAAAGAAAGTACATGTGAAAATGTCATAATCAAACCTATGATTTTGTGTGATAAACAAAACGAATGAATTACAAACAAGATGAAAAGGAGGCACCGAGGAGAACAGGCTGTCGTCAGACCCTGCATCAGCTGCTGTCCTGTTGCAGACTTCTAAACCTCCAGAATTGTGAACAAGTTTTTTCTTTTTGTTCATAAATCACCCAGATTAAGGTATTCTGTTATAGTCACTTGAGCAGGTTATGACAGTATCCTGGTGAATGCTGGGCTCAGCAATAGAGGGCTGGTCCCATTCTGGAGGGGCAGGAGTTGAGAAGTGCTTTGCATTAAATAAATAGGAGTCATACAAAAACAAACATCTTTTTTTTTTAATTTTTTTTTCGAGACAGGTTTTCTCTGTAGCTTTGGAGCCTGTCCTGGAACTAGCTCTTGTAGACCAGGCTGGCCTCGAACTCACAGAGATCCGCCTGCCTCTGCCGCTCGAGTGCTAGGATTAAAGGCGTGCACCACCACCGCCCGGCTAAAAACAAACATCTTGAGAGGAACAAAAAGGTAAAGAGTTCCAAGAAACACAACAAAAAGCTGAAATCTGCAGTAAGGCCAGTGGGGAATTTCCGGGTGGGACCGTGACTGAGTTCTGGTGGAGAGAAAAATATTTGCTTTACTATAGTTCTTTGCTGATTCAACAAAGTCCCTTGCTAAAGAATAGATATAGTGCTAGCACTTGGCTACATGGGGGTTTCCAGAGAGATGTCTGAAGAGTCGTAAGGCAGACAAGCAATAATTAAGCAAGTTGAAGAATAGTTGCAAATGTAAGTGTGTACTCCAGAGGCCACGGTTGGGAGTGGGTGAGAGAATCACGAAGTTAGAGTGGACCGAGATTTCTCAGCATTAATTGGAAGCAGACTTTCACTACGATGACCCTCCACCATGACAACCTCTCAGAGACAGGGGCTACACACAGAAAGCACCCCTGACACGCTGTCCTTCCCAGCTTCTCTGATGCTGCAAAGGCCTTTGGTGGCCGAGGCTGAGACGGTAGCATTCAAAGACAGAAGGAACGACAGTGGAATGTTCATACAAGAGAAGCTTACTAGAGCAAGCAAAGGCAGCACCATACTCTGTCTCGAGCCACTGTTTTCTCTGGATATTCAGACCCTGCTTTATACCAGAGTTTGTCATGGCTTATGCATGTCTTTAATGCCTCACCACAGAACAGTTCTAGATACAAGCCCCTGTGTCACACGACATCACATACACACACATACACACACACACACACACACACACACAATCTGCATTTCAGCCAGGCACACAGTCAGGACTTTTCCACAGTGCCCAGATTTTGAGCAAAGAACGGAATATGACCTGTGGATTTTAAGTTCCCATCTATATTCTGTGTGAAACCTAGACAGCAGAGCGTCTTTAGGAGATGCTGTTTACCATCCCGCTGCATCAGCCCAGTGTATTCAGAAGGAGGATGTAGAGTCTGGTGACATTGAGGACAGGGAAAGAAAGAGCAAAGCAGGGTTGAAGGAGGGAGTTGTGAAACCATGCTTTAATTTCCCACATGTCCATCTGCCTAAATGAGGCTATGCGCCCAACTCTGAGCTCCTGATTCCCTCTGTCAACAGCAGAAGCTTCCCAGGTACTGGACACTGTGTTCTCATAATAAAAGCCAAACTGTCCAAGGAAAATAACAACAAATCCGTGAACACAGATCAGACAAAAGCCTCTGCAGAAATATCCGTAGTGACGCTCATATCCCATAATGAAACGCCACCCCGATCTGAGACTACATACACACAAGGAGTACAGGGTGAGTCTCATGAGAATGTTTCTCATAATTCTTCTCAATATAAATTGATAGCATCACCCAAACCTACACACAAGGATAAACAAACCACTGGGACCCGGTGCCAACCAATAGATACCTCCTCCCTGCTCACGTGGCTCAGACAATGTTTCAAACTAGTAGGAGAAAAAATACACTTCAGGATGATTTCCAGCGCAATCATTCCTGCATTTCCTTCCTCCCAAACAACAGATAAAGAATGAGAGTGATCATGAGCTTGAGACTGGGCACGGACAGCAGGTGACATGGCCTCTAGAGACAATTTTCTAACCAGTCCCATCCATTCCCAGGTAGTTTCTAGTATATAGGAACAAGATGGCCACAAGGAAGCCTCTCATCATAAGATCTAAGTATTCTAGAAATATCAGAAGTAGCTAGTATCCCACAGAGGCCACAGAAACGCAGAAATGGCAGTAAGTCATGGTGCCATGGACACTAGGAGTCAGCAGGAAAGGAGAAGTGAAGGAATCAAAACTCTCCCAAACCCACTGCAAGAAATGCTGATCCAACGCTCAAGACCTCAAGACTTTTGTAGGTAATGCTGATCATTCAAAAATGACATCTACTTGTCTTCCCTAGAGACCATAACATGAAAGGTCTAGCAATCTCTGTAAGGTATTTGTGGCAGGCCACTTAAGGAAGATATACGATCGGAAAGAATCCCTGAAGAAAAGTCATTTGGACACTGACCTCATTCAGACATAAGGAGCACGCAGTGCCAGGTAACCCATGCCAACCTTAGCACAATCATTTGGGGAGGAAATAGCACCTTCGTCTCCACCTCCGCTCCAAGAACTAGCTCAGGCTGCCTCCAGAAGCCGCCATCGAGCCTGATGGAGATTCACAGAGTCACAGGAGAACAGGGAAGGGCAGCCACCACCCGAGGACTCTCCTCTTGAGCACACGAGCTATTTCACTGGACAGGTTGAGGTCAAAACGTGGCAAAAGCCCCGGATGCTCTGATGCAAGTCAGACATAAAAAGTCAACAGAGAAACGGAAGACTGGAGCAAGGAAATTGGATTTTGAAAATCCATTTGGATTTGGTAATGTATAGCATATCAGCATCTGTAAGGGAGTAAAAATCGTGTGGGCTACATACTTTAGGGGACATTAAAGCATAAATAAGGTTTATAGTGCCAATCAGAATTTTTTTTAAACATGAGCTCTTCTTTTGGAAATGAGAGAGGAATAGAATTCAATAAAAATATAAATGTGCCTGCCTCTGCATTTCTCAGATATGATCCTGTGTGTTCCAGAGCAGAATTAAGTTCGGAAGAGGGATGGAAAATTTGTTACCTTCTGCTGGGTGTCAGGCACTGCATGTGAACTGTGCTGAGGTCTATGTAAATCTGTTTGCATACGGAAACAGAAAACCACAACCCCCTTCTCAAAGACAGGGTTCAGCAAACTTTTCTACAAAGCGTCAAATAGTAAATATCTTTAGCTTTGTGTCTACACAATCTCTGTCACAACTGCTAAGCCCTGCTCTCGCAATACAAAAGCAACCATGGCCAATATGGAAAAAAAGCCGGTGTGGCTACGTTCCCTTAAAACTTCATATATAATAATGGAGGCAGGCTATGTTCTTCC